ACTGCATGACACCTTCAAGACAGCTTTTTCAAGGTAAATAAAGATACACAAATTTTTAATAGCTCTAACCCTATATTACCATACGTAGTTTTTACAGAACTGATCAGTAAAGCAGAAGTCTCAGTTATATATCTGATAAAGTAGTCTACTGGAAATAATTAATAACTTTTCATAAAAAAATTATATTATTTTTTGTTAGGTTACATTTAGTCTTGAGATTTTCTATTCATCAATCACCAAAACTTTAAAAGGTTTCATATGATAGATTCTCTTCGCTTGCTTTAACTTGAAGCTAGGCTTTCCTTTCATGTAATTTGATCTTTGTTTGCTCATCCCAGCTGCAGGCTTTCCTTGCAAATGTAATTAGCACAACAAACTATTATAGGTCTTGAACAAATGGAAATTATAATATTTTTTATGCCTTTTGCCACCACTGGGAAAAAATGTTCTGACAAATTGAAGTATTCTCCATTTTGTTTTAAGCATCTGTGCATGTGAAGTATCATTTCTGGTGCTTGGTAGGTTGCATTACTCTTTCATCTTTTTTACTGGTGATTTGTTGATTTCTCAATCTGTTGCTTCTTTTGTATGAAACTTGAGTACTTTTATGTTGGGTTGGATACCTGCATCTTTAGATGTTGTCTTCCACTTCTATGCATATTACACATCAATTCAAGGGTACAATCATTGTTTTTTCTCTTGTTGCTTCTGCCATCAGGTCTCCTTCTATATCCCGTATCCGAGCTAAGATGCTGTATGCCACCTCCAAGGATAGATTCAGGAGAGAGATGGATGGAGTTCACTATGAGATTCAGGCAACTGATCCCTCAGAGGTGGACCTTGAGATCCTGAGAGACCGGGCACATTAATTTGGAGATCTTTTGGGATCATGAATTTGCCATCAGACGTTGGATTAGCTATTTATGCCCTCTGGATAATTGTGTTTGAGAGCTTGAGACTCTAATACTAAAAGTGATTGGGTTATGCTGCTGAACATTTCTGAATATATAAATCAAGTGTTGTCGGAAAGTGGTATCTTTAAGTGGTTCTTGCAAACTTGTATCGAAAGTAATATTTCCAATATCACAGAAATTGTCTGGTCACTGTTAATTGGTGTTGTTTATATTCTTGATTCTGTGCCAGAGGCTTGCCAATTTAAATACTTTTAATTATGAGAAAATACTATCAAAGAGTGCCTCAGGAAGTTCATGTCTTTTAGTTTTCTAGGAAAAAATATATATCCCAAAACAAGTGCTTTATATCTATCAAAGCCCATAATTCAAGTCAAACTTTTAATCTCGTTGATTAAGTCTTGTAGTTAGTATTTCAACTTTACAAATAATAATAGAGGTCGTTTCTTTTTTTATATTTTATGTGATATTTTTTTCTCCATCAAAATTTTTATCCGTAAGATGATGTTGAGTTGATGGATCATCGAACACAAAATCATTTTAGATAGTTCTTATTGGTCCATTAAGCCAGCAAGTTAGTGATTTTCTATATTTTT